GAATTAGAAAGTATTATTTAGCTTTTGAATAATTTATTGTGTTAAGTTGTTCAGCTTAGATTTGTTAATCTTATTGTAATGGAGTTAAAGGGGTTCTTAAATTTTTTTTTAGGATTTATGTATAATTGATTGATGCTTATTTAATTTTTTATGTTTTTTTTGTTGTTTTTTAGCTCTGTATTCAGCTCTGGGGAGGGGGGGAGGGTTATTGGGAGGGGGGAGGGATAGAGGTGGGGTGGGATTTTATTGTAAAAAGTTTATAAAAATTTCAATTAAAAAAAGTGTGAAAAACGGCCCTAAATCACTGTTTGCGGGGCCGTCGTAAGTTGGAACGGTCACCGTGTGAGCCGTTGTAAGTTGAGTCAGAAGGACGGGTCGGTTGCCAAGCGTCTGAATTTTGTATCACGTGACCCCCCCCCCCCGAGGATGCTGCAACGGTCTTGTAAAAAAACGACCAGAAGTTGCCTTTTTGCAGCACGGTCGTAATTTTGAACCGTCACTAAATGCAGTAAGTCGAGGACTGCGTTTGGTTCAGAACTTTCCATGAAATTTTCAAACCGGTGCCGAGTGCCACTGAAATGCAGACCTGGAAATCTAGAAAAAAGGGACGGGCCAAGCTCTCTGTTCAAAAAATGGATTTCTTTACTAGCTGCTACGAGACTTAAACTAGAGGCTGGAAAATTAAAGGGATTCTCCTTCCCCCTCCCCTTTCCCAGGGGTTTTGCCTCTAGCAGATAGGCTGCTTCTGGTCATGGATGCTCCGTTGGTAAGGATTAAGCCTAACGCTTCCCGTTTCCATCAGTGTCTTTCCCTCTGCTTCAACCAATTGTGGCTTTGAAGTCAACTTGGTTTTATCCGTGGAGATGAGGTTCCTAATGCAGATAAGACTTAGGCCAGGGGTCTTCAAACTCGGCCCTTTGATGACTTGTGGACTTCAACTCCCAGAATTCCTCAGCCAGGCACGCGTGCCTGGCTGAGGAATTCTGGGAGTTGAAGTCCACAAGTCATAAAAGGGCCGAGTTTGAAGACCTCTGCTTATGAGTATTTCTCACACTTATGACCATGCCTGCTGAGGAATTCTGGGTTGAAGTCCACAAGTCATCAAAGGGTCGAGTTTGAAGACCCCTGCTTATGAGTATTTCTCACACTTATGACCATGCCTGGCTGAGGAATTCTGGGAGTTGAAGTCCACAAGTCATCAAAGGGTCGAGTTTGAAGACCCCTGCTTATGAGTATTTCTCACACTTATGACCATGCCTGGCTGAGGAATTCTGGGAGTTGAAGTCCACAAGTCATCAAAGGGTCGAGTTTGAAGACCCCTGCTTATGAGTATTTCTCACACTTATGACCATGCCTGGCTGAGGAATTCTGGGAGTTGAAGTCCACAAGTCATCAAAGGGTCGAGTTTGAAGACCCTGCTTATGAGTATTTCTCACACTTATGACCATGCCTGGCTGAGGAATTCTGGGAGTTGAAGTCCACAAGTCATCAAAGGGTCGAGTTTGAAGACCCCTGCTTATGAGTATTTCTCACACTTATGACCATGCCTGGCTGAGGAATTCTGGGAGTTGAAGTCCACAAGTCATCAAAGGGTCGAGTTTGAAGACCCCTGCTTATGAGTATTTCTCACACTTATGACCATGCCTGGCTGAGGAATTCTGGGAGTTGAAGTCCACAAGTCATCAAAGGGCCGAGTTTGAAGACCCCTGCTTATGAGTTGAAGTCCACAAGTCATCAAAGGGCCGAGTTTGAAGACCCCTGCTTATGAGTATTTCTCACACTTATGACCATGCCTGGCTGAGGAATTCTGGGAGTTGAAGTCCACAAGTCATCAAAGGGTCGAGTTTGAAGACCCCTGCTTATGAGTATTTCTCACACTTATGACCATGCCTGGCTGAGGAATTCTGGGAGTTGAAGTCCACAAGTCATAAAGGGTCGAGTTTGAAGACCCCTGCTTATGAGTATTTCTCACACTTATGACCATGCCTGGCTGAGGAATTCTGGGAGTTGAAGTCCACAAGTCATCAAAGGGCCGAGTTTGAAGACCCCTGCTTATGAGTATTTCTCACATGACCATGCCTGGCTGAGGAATTCTGGGAGTTGAAGTCCACAAGTGCCTGGCTGAGGAATTCTGGGAGTTGAAGTCCACAAGTCATAATTTCTCACACTTATGACCATGCCTGGCTGAGGAATTCTGGGAGTTGAAGTCCACAAGTCATAAAAGGGTCGAGTTTGAAGACCCCTGCTTATGACTCACACTTATGACACTTTATGACCATGCCTGGCTGAGGAATTCTGGGAGTTGAAGTCCACAAGTCATCAAAGGGCGAGTTTGAAGACCCCTGCTTATGAGTATTTCTCACACTTATGACCATGCCTGGCTGAGGAATTCTGGGAGTTGAAGTCCACAAGTCATCAAAGGGTCGAGTTTGAAGACCCCTGCTTATGAGTATTTCTCACACTTATGACCATGCCTGGCTGAGGAATTCTGGGAGTTGAAGTCCACAAGTCATCAAAGGGCCGAGTTTGAAGACCCCTGCTTATGAGTATTTCTCACACTTATGACCATGCCTGGCTGAGGAATTCTGGGAGTTGAAGTCCACAAGTCATAAAAGGGTCGAGTTTGAAGACCCCTGCTTATGAATATTTCTCACACTTATGACCATGCCTGGCTGAGGAATTCTGGGAGTTGAAGTCCACAAGTCATCAAAGGGCCGAGTTTGAAGACCCCTGCTTATGAGTATTTCTCACACTTATGACCATGCCTGGCTGAGGAATTCTGGGAGTTGAAGTCCACAAGTCATCAAAGGGCCGAGTTTGAAGACCCCTGCTTATGAGTATTTCTCACACTTATGACCATGCCTGGCTGAGGAATTCTGGGAGTTGAAGTCCACAAGTCATCAAAGGGTCGAGTTTGAAGACCCCTGCTTATGAGTATTTCTCACACTTATGACCATGCCTGGCTGAGGAATTCTGGGAGTTGAAGTCCACAAGTCATCAAAGGGTCGAGTTTGAAGACCCCTGCTTATGAGTATTTCTCACACTTATGACCATGCCTGGCTGAGGAATTCTGGGACCATGCGAGTTTGAAGACCCCTGCTTATGAGTATTTCTCACACTTATGACCATGCCTGGCTGAGGAATTCTGGGAGTTGAAGTCCACAAGTCATCAAAGGGCCGAGTTTGAAGACCCCTGCTTATGAGTATTTCTCACACTTATGACCATGCCTGGCTGAGGAATTCTGGGAGTTGAAGTCCACAAGTCATAAAAGGGTCGAGTTTGAAGACCCCTGCTTATGAGTATTTCTCACACTTATGACCATGCCTGGCTGAGGAATTCTGGGAGTTGAAGTCCACAAGTCATCAAAGGGTCGAGTTTGAAGACCCCTGCTTATGAGTATTTCTCACACTTATGACCATGCCTGGCTGAGGAATTCTGGGAGTTGAAGTCCACAAGTCATAAAAGGGTCGAGTTTGAAGACCCCTGCTTATGAATATTTCTCACACTTATGACCATGCCTGGCTGAGGAATTCTGGGAGTTGAAGTCCACAAGTCATCAAAGGGCCGAGTTTGAAGACCCCTGCTTATGAGTATTTCTCACACTTATGACCATGCCTGGCTGAGGAATTCTGGGAGTTGAAGTCCACAAGTCATCAAAGGGCCGAGTTTGAAGACCCCTGCTTATGAGTATTTCTCACACTTATGACCATGCCTGGCTGAGGAATTCTGGGAGTTGAAGTCCACAAGTCATCAAAGGGCCGAGTTTGAAGACCCCTGCTTATGACCATTTCTCACACTTATGACCGTGCCTGGCTGAGGAATTCTGTGAGCTGAAGTCCATAAAACGGCCAAGTTTGAAGACCCCTGATTTAGGCATTGCCAAGAGAATCCATTTAACCGACATGGTGCGTGTTGTCAAGAGCCGACAACTTCCCCTTTAGAAAAAAAAAAATGCTAGAAAAACAACTGACCCTACAAAAAAGCCAGTTTTGCCATCTGGGACATCCTCTATACAGTATATGCAATCTGTTTTCAGTTCTGTTTGCAACACTTCTCTTTAAAAGCTTGTTTGTACACCACGTTTCTCCCCGGGACCCCCATCCCTTTCCCCGTGTCCTTTGTGTCCAAAGACCCAACCTGACACACCTTGTTTTGACCGCAACACTGCATTGCAGAGGTAGGGAAGGGGTAAAAAAAAAAAAGAGAGAGAGATAAGTGTGTTAGGGTTTTTGTGTGTTTCGGGAAACCAAATGCGTCGGCACGCATTTTTGTAAGCAAAACGAGCCGATTATCTCTTCCTTTTCCTTTTGCAACCTCTGAATGGAGAGAAACACTCAGGGCACCCCCCAAAACTGCGAAGGAGGCAAATCCTAACTGTGTGTGCGTTGTTGAGCCCCCCAACAACTCTGGGGGTGAAGCGTTCGGCTCTCTTTTTTTCATGCCAACTCTTTTTTTTCCTATGCTGGCATTTCAAACCCCTTCGTAAATTTTGGGCAGCCCGGCTTTCGATGCATTTCATTTTAAATACATGGCTGGGAGGCCATAAATAAGGGGGTGCACCCCTCTGCGGTGGCCACTCAGCTCAGAAACCTTTGGGGGGGGGCTGGCTTTGAGAATATCTTTTTTTTCTTTGGGCAGATTCATAGCTGCTGACTCGGCACCGGCTGACGAACGAGGCACTCTCAGCCAGCAGGGTTTTTCCAGGGCCCGCCAGGGATCCATCAAAGGCCATGATTTAGCCCCCTGGCATCTTGGGGGGGGTGTGCATAACTTATCAGCCCAAAGGGGGCCACGGGGGAGAATATCCCAGGCACCTCGGGGGGCTCCATTTGCTATTAAAACGTGTCGGGAAATGTGGCACACGCTGGCAAGAAGGGCACGACTGCCTTTATTTTTGGCTGAGCGTAGAGTTTGCTAATTCTGAATTTAGCTTAATCCCCCCTCCCCTCCTTCTGTGAATCCTCAAACGTTTGGCCGCCACGTTCTAAGCATTACCTACCTCTCGAAGGGGTGTCCTCCCTCCCGGCGTGGCCAATTTAGGTAAAGCATCTCACGGTCTCGGCTCCGGGGGAGGCTACCGCTGGCCACCATCCTCTCAGTCCTTCAAAGAGATATCGAAACGGCTGTTTTAAGCTCCTGTCTCCCAGCCAGGGGAGACACTGGGCAGCCATCATGCGTTTTGCACCCGCAGGCTTGGGCTGCTCAATCTGTGCACTTGCGAAGTTTGCCTGGGTGGAGGTGTTTGGAGGGACCTCCTGGCTCCCTCTGAAAAGGGGGGTCCAGGGGACCCCCAACGTGTCCCCTTTGGGATGCTGTCGATGGGGAAAACACCCAGCCCGTCGGCATAAAACGGCCAAGGTAAAAATGTGGACGTTTTAAAACAGCGGTTCTCCACCTGTGGGTCGGGACCCCATTTGGGGTCGAACGACCATTTCACGGGGGTCGCCAAACAACGCCATTTTTCCCCCCCTTTTCCTTAGCTGTGCTCCTCCCTTTTATTCTGTTGGCTTTTGAAAGCCAATAGAATAGACTCTCTTGAATAGAGTCTCATTCTATTGGCTTTCAAAAGCCAATAGGAATTTTCCAGGCTGTCTCTGCCCTGCTGAGCCCGCCAAAAGTCCCATTCTGCAAACGGTGCTGCACCCGTTGAGTAGTCCTCGACTTACGACCGGTTGAGTAGTCCTCGACTTACGACCGGTTGGGGGGGTCGCGGCATTAAAAAGGTTGAGAACCACTGTTTTAAAAGGACATCCAAGACCAGCGGTCTCCAGACTTAGCAACGTGAAGACTTGTGGAATTCAACTCCCAGCATTCCCCAGCCAGCATGGAATTTTGAGGAATTAAGAGTCCACAAGTCTTAAAGTTGTCAGGCTTGGAGGACCCCTGTCTAAGACAGTGGGGGAATGATGGTAAAATGTCATTTGGACTTCTTTTCCTCCATTCCAAAGCACCCCTCATCTTCCAATGAGAAGGAAGCAAACCCGGAGAAGCAACTCGTACTGAGAGGCGACAGGCACCCTCCCTCCCACTCAATACAACGCCCGCTAGGACGTTGCTCATAGATAAAAGAGGGTGGTGAAGGGGAGCCCTTTCTGGGGATAAAGTGAGGGTGACAACCACACCGGGGCCACGAGGCTGCCCGTTGTGCCTCTCAGGGAGTCCAAATAATCTTCCTTTCTCAAAGGGTGGGAAATACCAGAACCGAACCTGGATGCAGATGGTTGAGGCAGCAGAATAAACAGATGTGCAAGCAGAAGGCAGCGGTGGCATCGAAAGAGAGGCTCCCTGTGAGGAAATGACTTAACTCAGGGGTCTCCAACCTCCGGTCTGTGGACCGGTAGCGGGCCACGGCATGCCAGCAACCGGTCCGCACAAACAAGCAAAGCCCCATCCGTGGGATGCAGGCAGCACACAAAAGCACGCTTCCCTCCGGCCCGTGGAAAAACCTCTCTCCACGGAACCCGTCCCTGGTGCCCCAAAGGTTGGGGGCCTCCGACTTAATTGTACCCCGTTTCTGTTTTCATTGCACCCCCAAACTGCCTCTGGGTCCTTGCCATCTGTTTCTTTCTTTGCTTGCTCTGCAAAACAGACTCTTCCCAGCTCTCTGGGCTCGCACGACGCCCAGGCGGGCGCTGGGTTCAAATCTCCCACCCTCCCCAAAATTGAAAAAAGAGAGCCAAGCCAGGGCCCTAGAACTTGAAATTAATCAACGAAGCAGGAGTCTAATTGCAGCGTTTGCTTGCTTATTAAAAAGATGGCAGGGGGTGGAGCGGTGACCTTTGATTTCTCGCGCCCCCCCTCTCCACCCCCGAAAAGACCACGTCCCGGGCAGATATCGGCACTTAAATTTTGTCTTAGCAACTGCAGGAGCGCCTGGCAGGATCCCGCCAGCCGCCGAAAATACGATTGCAGCCCCAGAGTTTTGAGGAACGTGTGCAATTAAAAAAAGACATTTCTGCACAGTGCTGAGGAGAGGAAAGATTAATCCTGCCAGGAGCAGCCTCCCCTTACAAAACCCACATGGTATGCATTATTGTGCGGAATTTATTAGGTAAATATTTCTTGAACAGAGGCTGCTGCATAATGGATTCCTTGAAAGAACCCCAGAGAGGCGACAGGAGTCTTTGCCTCTCCCCAGATCCTGCAGTGTCCCACTCTCTCCAGCCCCAGAGATTCCTTTCTTCCTTCCTTCCTTCCTTCCTTCCTTCCTTCCTTCCTTCCTTCCTTCCTTCCTTCCTTCCTTCCTTCCTTCCTTCCTCCCTCCCTCCCTCCCTCCCTCCCTCCCTCCCTCCCTCCCTCCCTCCCTTCCTTCCTTCCTTCCTTCCTTCCTTCCTTCCTTCCTTCCGGGGCCCAGCTTTTAAGCATCATCTTAAGAAGCAGATCCATTTTTGGGGAGCTGAAATGTGCAATCCTCAAGGAAGCGTATTGCAGCCCATTGTTGCAGTAAACGATGTGCAACTGACCGGGACGGTGCCTGTTGCACAAACATCGTTGTGCACGAAAAATTGGCCGTACGGCCCTAACTTTGCGTCCTGCTAGCCAAGCTTCCATTGTACTTCAATGCTTGGAAAATGTATTCCCCGATTCCACTGTTACTCCATGTGCTCAAATATCCTGGCCATCTAAGGCTGCTGTGCCTTTTTAACACCCCCCACTTTACAATGCATAAAGAAAATTATTTACATCGCACATAAGATACTGTTACCATGGTGGGTTTTTCTGTATTGTTTGTTTTTAATTAAACGGAATGACAAAGCTGGAGGAGACACGGAGAAGAAAGAGGCTGATAACAAGACTGTAAATAATTTAGAAAAGGAAAGGAAAAGAAGGTAGAAAGGAAAAGAATAGAAGAAGAAGAAAAAAAAGGCCATCAACTGAGAGGTGGAGGCTTGGCGGAGCTGTTTTGAGGGGAGGAGAAGCCGGGTGGCTAAAATGCACCCCTTCCTCCGTTCACGTCAGTTCCAAAGCGACTGTAAAGAAGAGAGGCAGAAATAGTCTGAAGCTGCACTGGAGACTCGGCGAACCTGCAGAAGAGGATGGAGAAGAAGGAAACAAGGAAAGAAAGAAAAAAAGAAAGAAAAAAAAAAGAAAAAAGGAAAGAAAGAAAGAAAGAAAGAAAAAAGAAAGAAAGAAGCAAAGGGAAGGAGGGAGAGAAAGAAAGAAAGGAAGGAAAAGAGAGAGAGAGAAAGAAAGAAGCAAAGAGAAGGAAGGAAGATAAAAAGAGAGAAAGAAGGGAAGGAAGGGAGGGAGGGAGAGAGAAAGAAAGAAAGAAGCAAAGGGAAGGAAGGAGGGAGAGAAAGAAAGAAAGGAAGGAAAAGAGAGAGAGAAAGAAAAAAGCGAAGGGAAGGAAGATAGAAAGAGAGAAAGAAGGGAAGGAAGGGAGGGAGGGAGAGAGAGAGAGAGAGAGAGAGAGGAAGGAAGGAAGGAAGGAAGAAGCAAAGGGAAGGGAGAGAGAAATAAAGAAAAGGAAGGGAGAGAGAGAGAAAGAAGCAAAGGGAAGGAAGATAGGGAAAGAGAGAAAGAAAGAAGGGAAGGAAGAAAGGAAGGGAGAGAGACAGAAAGAAAGAAAGAAGGAAAGAAGGAAAGGAGAAAGAAAGAAAGGAGAGAGAAAGAAAGAAAGGAGAGAGAAAGAAATTAAGAAAAAAGAAAGAAAGAAGGAAGGAAAGAAAGAAAGAAAGAAAGAAAGAAAGAAAGAAAGAAAGAAAGAAAGAAAGAAAGAGAAAGACGGATTTAGAAAGTTCCCATGGGTTCAAAATTGCAATCCCTTCCCGCCAACTGCAAAGCTGTGGATTGCTGACTTTGCCATGCGCCGCTTCAGGCATGCAACGGTGGGAAAGCAGAGAAGTGGGCGTGCATCACAAGGGTGGGGAGATCTCCAGCTGCTCCCAGGGCAGGGAAGCCACATGCAGAAGCCCACCAGAACAAGACACTGAGCTGAGCACAAATTCCAGGGGGGTTCAGGAAAGAAAATTGGGGCGGGGGGGGGGGCGGGGAGGAAATCTTGCTAAAATTTCAGGAAGCAGCAACGGAAGCGCAAAGCGAACATGCTTCTTGCGAGGAGGCGCGTTAAATGGGTGGAGAGGGGCTTACCATTGGAGTCTTCTGTTCCTCTTGGAATATTGGGGTTTTCTATTTAGAAAGGGGGGTGGGTGGGGAGAAAAGAATAAGACAGTCATCGAGCATCGGAGAAACTCAGGCAAGGATGAGGTGTGATGGATGGAGGACGGGAAAGAATGGATGAAGAATGGAAGACGCGAGGGGGGGGTGTTGATTAGAGTTTGGGGAAGCAAAGGAGGGGGAATTGGAAGCAGAAAGGATGGCATGGTTCGGCTGGGTCCCCCCCTAATTGCAATCTTCCTACCCCAACGGGGGTATATCCCTATCCTGGAGGGAGCATGCAGCTGGAAAGACATCAACAGACCACAGAAAGTAGGATGGTTGAGATGTCAACAGCGAGTCGGAAGGTGGGGAGATGATCCAAGATGAGCCACCGATGGAGGAATGGGGGCTCCCCCCTACCGAACACGATCAGCCGGGTGTGGGTGTCGGTGGAGCCCAAAGGGTTCTGCGCCGTGCAGCGATACATCGAGCCGTTCAGTTCGGCCGGCACGCGTTCCAACACCAGCTCTTTCCCGTCATGTTCGGTGCTGCCGTCCAGGAGCCGGCTCCCGACACGGGTCCAGGTGAACATGGGCTCGGGGAAGACTTCGTTCTGGAACCAAGGATCCACCCCACCCCACCCCAAACGGTCAGTTCAACCAACAGCATGGAGGAAAACAGGTCATGTGGTTATTGCCTTGAAGGTCCTCCTAGGGTCTGCTCAAACCTGGAACCATCGTCTGGGTGGGAGAAGCAATTTATGAAGAACCTGGATTGACTCCAAGAGTCAAAGGAACAACCATAAAGCTCTTTGGACGACCTCGTCACAAAGCAACTTAATCGCCCCACAGAAGGAAAGGGCTGGTAAGAAGACACTTCTCAAATGTTGATGTTTGGGGGGTTCTAGTTAGATTAAAAGTTCTTGGGAGGAGACAAGAGAGATGTGAGTTGCCTAGATCCAGCCCAGAATGGAGGCTGCGAATTGAGGGTCCGTAAAGGACGGAGAAGGAAGCTAAGTGGTCAAGAGCAAAATGGTTTTTGATGGAACCATCAGCTCCTTTGTGTCCACCTTGATGTACCTGGCATGCTATACACCCTCTTCACCACCTGTTTTCCTTGCTACCTTCTGGGAGGGGGGGGGGCTTCGTGGTATCCGAAGCAGAACATCCAGACTATGTCACGGTTTTGTTCCATTCAGGATCAACCTTGTGAACTCTCAAGCTTCCTCTTTCCACTATGTATTCAAGAGGGACAACAATTAATATTTATATGTATTTATATGTAAGAGCGTAGATATATACATACGTATGTATATAGCATATGTTGTGTGTGTTATGTATGTGTACACTTTTGAGAGCAAGAAACAGAGTTTCATTTTTAATGTGTGCCAGGGTGCACACAGTAAAAAAAATGACAATAAAGGTTATCTATCATATCATATCTATCTATCTATCTATCTATCTATCTATCTATCTATCTATCTATCTATCTATCTATCACAGTGTTTCTCAACCTTGACAATTTTAAGGCATGTGGACTTCAACTCCCAGAATTCCACAGCCAGCATGGCTGTGGAATTCTGGGAGTTGAAGTCCACATGCCTTAAAATTGTCAAGGTTGAGAAACACTGACTATCATCTATCTATCTATGCATGTATATCTATCTATCTATCTATCTATCTATCTATCTATCTATCTATCTATCTATCTATCTATCTATCTATCTATCTATCTATCTATCTATCGCTTGCTCACCTGTCTGCTTAAGTGAGGACCTGACCAAGAAGATGAAGGATAACTGAATAACAGAGTTGGAAGAGACCTTAAAGGTCTTCTAGTCCAGCCCGTCTCAAGCAGGAGACCCTATGCCATTTCAGATAAATGACTGTCCAATTTCTTCTTAAAAACCTCCAGTGATGGAGACAGGTCATTCCACTGATTAATTGTTCTAGGATGAGAACCCTCTGAAATTAGCTGAAGAAATAGCTCTCTTTTTGGGTGGAGGACTCAAAAAGTCCATCTCGACTCTCCAAATGTGGTGGACTGCATCCTTTGTCAAGCCCCAGCCAGCATGGCCTGGGCTAAGAGCTGGATTTTAGAAAATCCAGAGAACTTTAAATTGAATATGGTCTTCTGGCCCTATTTTCCAAGACAGTCAGATACAAGCTCTGGAACAATCTTTGCCCAAATCCTGGTCCTGCAACACTTTCTAAGCCAGGGGTCTTCAAACTTGGCCCTTTTATGACTGGTGGACTTCAACTCCCAGAATTCCTCAGCCTGGCTGAGGAATTCTGGGAGTTGAAGTCCACCAGTCATAAAAGGGCCAAGTTTGAAGACCCCTGTTCTAAGCCTTTGAAGTAGAGATGAATTGTTCATGCTCTAAGCAACAGTCCTCCCCTTCTGCTGAGTTTTCACCTCTCTGTTCACCCCCTGGAGACCCACCTCAGGGCCAGGTGTGAGAATAAATTGCTTTCCCCTTCACTAGAAAGACCCAGGGTGTCACACTTGGTGCCTGAACGTGAGTTGTGCACTACACTGTTGGAGAACTGGCCTCTTTGGCTTGGAACATGTTCCTACAACATCTGGTTGAGGGCCATCCACAAGAGCATCCATCCATCCATCCATCCATCCAAAGCTCGCCAACTTTACACCAAATTCTTGGGGTCGCAGAGCAAATCCACAGGGGATGAGGCACATCCCACCCTTCACAAAACATGTGTGAAGAACTACACATACACACCTTCCCTCCCTCTCTCCAGCAGCCACCCAGTGTGTTAGTTTTCAAGTCTCTCACACACCTGGCAGGGAAAAAAAAAAGGAAGCTAAGAAAGCTTCTAGGACTATCAATTTATCTGACTTTTAGCTGCCACGACATACACACAAACAAACACCCCTCGGTGTTTGCAAGACCAGTTAGTCACAGCAAGCAAATTAATGCGGGTGTTTCTTTCACAGCTGGCTGGTCTTCTTCGGTACACAATTGTCTGTCTTAGTCATTTTTTAAAAAGCCTATTAAATTATTCCCAGAAGTGACCTAGAAGATGAACACCAAAATGGTCCTTAACAAGCAAAGGAGGTCTTTGAGCTGGGGTAGGGGGATGGATTTTGGGAAGTGGGAGGAGGGGGGGATGAGTGTTGTACACACCTGAAATCCTTGGACCAGGATACGGACCGTGTCTCCAACGCGGGCTCTTGTGGGGGTCATCATAATTTTGGGGCCCTTTGGAGCCACTGCAGGAAAAGGAAAGGGGTTAGACCTTCGTGTTCTCCTGGGGTCCTACCTATCTCCCCCTCCCCATTTTCCCACCATCCCTGCAAAGGTTGACAACATTTGAACTTGCCGGAGAGATACTCTGCCTTTAATGTAACCATACAGGCAGTCCTTGACTTACAACCACAACAGAACCCACATTTTCCGTTGCTAAGTGAGACAGCTGTTGAGTTTTAGCCCAACTTTATCACCGTTCCTGCCACAGTTAAGTAAATCCAGCTTCCCCACTGACGTCCGCTCGTCAGAAGGCTGCAAAAGGGGATCACGTGACCCCGGGACACAGGAACAGTCAGAAGCCCCCGTCAGTTGCCAAGTGGTCAAATTTTGATCCCGTGACCGTGGGGATGCTGCAACGGTTGTTGAGTCTGAAAAATGGTCACAAGTCACTTTTTTTTCCAACCCCGTTGTAAATTTGAACAGTCACTAAATGAATGGCTGAAAGTTGAGGACTACGAGTATGTGAAAGGGGTCGCGTATGCCTTCTGCGCCTGCAAGACCCAAGATGGCTGGGCTAGGACTGGACAGAGCCAGTTCCAGCCAGCCATAACAAGGTTAAACACTTCATGTGAAAGTGGCTTCTTTTCTTTATGGAGACTTGAAGGTTCTTCATTATTAGGATCTAAGAAGACTTGACCAGCAACCATCTCCCACCCTACGGTTGAGTTTAGACCATATGCTTTGTTGCCCCAAAGAAAATGGGAGTCAAGCTGTTCTCCAAAGCCCCTGAAGGCAGGACAAGAAGCAATGGATGGGAAGAGGAGAGAAGCAACCTAGAACTAAGGAGAAACTTCCTGACAGATCAATTAACCAGTGGAACAACCTGCCTCCAGAAGCGGTGAATGCTCCAACACTGGGAGCTTTTAAGAAGAGAGTGGACAGCCATTTGTCTGAAATGGTGTAGGGTTTCCTGCCTGAGCAGGGGGTTGGACTAGAAGACCTCCAAGGTCCCTTCAAACTGTTATTCTGTTCTGTTCTGTTCTGTTCTATTCTATTCTATTCTATTCTATTCTATTCTATTCTATTCTATTCTATTCCATTCTAATCTCTCTTTATTCCATTCCATTCCATTCCATTCTATTCCATCTCTCTCTATTCTATTCTATTCCATTCCATCTCTCTCTATTCTATTCTATTCTATTCTATTCCATTCCATTCTAATCTCTCTTTATTCTATTCTATTCTATTCTATTCTATTCTAATCTCTCTTTATTCTATTCTATTCTATTCTATTCCATTCCATCTCTCTCTATTCTATTCTATTCTATTCCATTCCATCTCTCTCTATTCTATTCTATTCTATTCTATTCTATTCTATTCTATTCTATTCCATTCCATCTCTCTCTATTCTATTCTATTCTATTCTATTCTATTCTATTCTATTCTATTCTATTCTATTCTATTCTATTCTATTCTATTCTCTCTTTATTCCATTCCATCTCTCTCTATTCTATTCTATTCTATTCTATTCTATTCTATTCTATTCTATTCTATTCTATTCCATTCCATTCCATTCCATTCTACTCTACTCAACCTGATTACTGGATTTACACAATGCTGAATACAAGTTTCCCTCGACTGATGACTGCAATTGAGCCTGCATTTTGATCATGGCAGTTGTGAAGCAGGTTATCACGATTTTGCAGCAGTCATTAAACAAACATGGCGGTCATAAAGCAGATGCCATGATGATTAAGTTGTTCACTAAGGGCATTTTTTGCTGGAAACTTTAAGTGCAAAAAAAATAAAATAAAATCATGGGACGCTGCAAATGGGGGTAAAAGCAGGCCAGGTGTTGAGTACCAAAATGCAGCCACATGACACTGGGGGGAGGGGGCCATGGGTGGACGTTGTAGGTTCGATCACTAAGTGACCAGCGTTTACCTGTAATATACAAGCCAACAAAGGTAAATTCCTGCAGCCTATTAAGAATTAACTATCATTGTTTAACCACGGTTCCAATGGTTCTAATCTTAGCCTTTTGGGGTGAGGGCATCTGCTGGTTGGTAAGCGGTGTGAACGCAGCCCTCGGCTCCGTGGGATCGCTTTTGGGGAGGGAGGCAAGGACTGAAAAACCAAAATGCCAGCTCAGTTGGTCACGGTTTCCCGGCCTGCTGACAGCTTCAGCAGCAATGCTTGTCTCAAGTAATAGAGCAACTTCAGAGAGTCTTTTCTGCTCAAAAGTCAGCCGTCCGTCCGAAAAATCCAGACAGGATCCAAGACGTAAAACCGCCTTAGAGATATCAAAGCAAAAACGAATGTTAAATGTCATTTAAAAGGACAACTTAAAAAGTCTTCTGCAGAGAGGTGGGCAATAACGCCAGGGGAGAAGGCAGGACCCCGCCCGCTTTTCTCCAACTGTCTGCAGAGAGATTGAGGCTTTCTTCTTCCAGGATGGAAGGCTGAGTCAACCTTGAGCTATTCAGAATCGAACTCCTGGCGCGAGCAGTGAGTTAGCCTGCACTACTGCCTTCTAACCACTGCGCCACCACGATTCACCCAACTCGTTAACTGTATTAAATGGATTGGGGGCTCTCTGGATCCGGGCGTTGTAGGAACCCTTCTTTTCAACATGGTCTCCTTTAAGAGGGGATCAGGCTGCTCTCCAAAGCACCTGAGGCCAGAACAAGAAGCAACGGATGGAAACTCATCAAGGAGAGAACCAACGAAGGAGAAATTTCCTGACCGAGAGCAATTAATCAGTGGAACAACTTGCCTCCAGAAATTGTAGGTGCTCCATCGCTGGAGGTTTTTAAGAAGGGACTGGACAGCCATTTGTCTGGAATAGTATAGGGTCTCCTGCTTGAGCAGGGGGCTGGACTAGAAGACCTCCAAGGTCCCTTCCAACTCCTCCTCCTCCTCTTCTTCTTCTTCTCCTCCTCCTCCTCTTCTTCTTCTTCTCCTCCTCTTCTTCTTCTCCTTCTCATCATCTTCTTCTTCTTCTTCTTCTTCTTCTTCTTCTTCTTCTCCTTCTCATCTTCTTCTTCTTCTTCTTCTTCTTCTTCTTCTTCTTCTTCTTCTTCTTCTTCTTCTTCTTCTTCTTCTTCTTCTTCTTCTTCTTCTTCTTCTTCTTCTTCTTCTCCTTCTCCTTCTCCTCCTCCTGTTAAATCCTAGCACAATTGACTTACAATCTGAACGTAGTTGGAATAAGACACCTTGCCACAAAATTTAGAAACTTCTCTCCTGGTGCTGATAACATATTCCCTCCTCAGCTGTTGCCCTCTTGGCTTAGAACAACGCTAACCAGTAAAATGGGCACCGTGTGATCAAATGGAATGGAGAAGAGAGAGAAAAAATCCTTAAAAAAGCTTGGTTTTATTATTTTTGAGAGATCAGCAGCATCTCCTCTGTTTCTTTGAAGAGACCCACACAGAGAAAAAGCAACGGTATCCATAACAAGAAACCAGAATTCTTTTAATTCTTTGCCTTCAGAGAGGCTGGACTGCAATTTCCAGATGGCCATGCTTGGATGCCTTGGGAGTTTAAGAGTGGACCTCTCCATCCTAAGAAACATTGAGGTGGCTTAACATTACGATCAAAATTGTAGCTTGGTTTGCTTCCAGATTCGGGGATGGGTGGACTTCAAGCCAGAAGAATTCTGGGATAAAAATGGCAAAGCCTTCTGGTCCAACAGTGGTCAATAAAGGATCTCAGGAAAGGCTGCAAGTGAGAATGAAACCTCAATTTATTTTCTCTAACAGCTGCCGTTCATGGTTGAACATGCTAGACCAGGGGTAGGCAACCTTGGCTCTTTTATGACTGGTGGACTTCAATTCCCAGAATTCCTGAGCCAGCCACGCTGAGGGGAAAGAGAGAGGTTTCCAAGCTGAGCTATTCTGGCTCAGGAATTCTGGGAGTTGAAGTCCACCAGTCATAAAAGAGCCAAGGTGGCCTATCCCCGATCTAGGAGGCTCACTGCTTAGAACAGGAGGACTTAGGCCAGGGGTAGGCAACGTTGGCCCTTTTATGACTGGTGGACTTCAACTCCCAGAATTCCTGAGCCAGCATGGGGGAACTATGGCCCCCCTCATGACTTGTGGACTTCAACTCCCAGAATTCCTGAGCCAGCCATGCTGAGGGGAAAGGGAGAGGTTTCCAAGCTGAGCCATGCTGGCTCAGGAATTCTGGGAGTTGAAGTCCATGAGTCATAAAGCGGCTTGGGCCTAAGCCAGAGGTAGCATCTTTGGCTCTTTTATGACTCGTGGACTTCAACTCCCAGAATTCCTGAGCCAGCCTGGCTCAGCTTGGAAACCTCTCCCTTTCCCCTCAGCATGGCTGGCCCAGGAATTCTGGGAGTTGAAGTCCACCAGTCATAAAAGAGCCAAGGTTGCCCACCCCTGTGCTAGACCTTCTAATTCCCCGCCTGAAGAGGCTGGACCCTTTTGGGATCCGAAGAGCTGCAGAATGAGGTTCTTCACAACCTACAGAAGAGTTCAAAGAAAGTTCATCTTTTTTGGCCAGGTGAGTAAAGTAGAGGCTCACCTACCAAGAATGGCCCAAAGATGCTTTTTCAGGAGGCAACTGGACTTTCTTGTTTTTCCTTTGAAGACCTTTCGCTTCCCATCCAAGAAGCTTCTTCAGCTCTGACTGGATGGTGGGGAAGGGAAGGATTTACACTCCTTCCAGAGTCGTTGAGTCCACCTGTTGTCATATTCCTCCCCCTCTGTTGAGAAAGGGCTGTTCAACTTTGACACAGACGGCCTCTTTGACATAGATGGCCCATTTGCACCACTCAGGTGACCCTGAGGACACAAGATAAACCTCCAGGTGGCCTCAACGACTCTCCAAAAGAAGGCAAATGACCAGCTCTCTGCAAGGAGTATAAATCCTTCCATTCTCCACCATCCAGAGCTGAAGAAGCTTCTTGGATGAGAAGAGAAACATCTTCAAAGAAAAAACAAGAAAGTCCAGTCTACCACACAGTCCTTTCAGCAGTTCCAAGAAGGCTCCACACCCATTTGCACCACAGGTGACCCTGAGGACACAGGTAAACCTCCAAATGGCCTGAAGGACTCTCTAAAAGAGTGCAAATGACCAGCTGTCTGCAAGGAGTATAAATCCTCCCCTTCCCCACCATCCCGTCAGAGCTGAAGAAGCTTCTTGGATGAGAAGCAAAATGTCTTCAAAGGAAGTCCAGTTGCCTTGTGGGAAAAAAAAAGCATCTTTGGGACAACCATCACCTGGAGGACAGAGAACCTCCATAGACACCTACCAAGAATGAAGTTGGTGCCTCCTGACTTGTATTTCTGGGAACAGAGCTCTATCCATGAAGGTCCTTAGTTTGAAGGGCGGTGTGGTGATGGGTCTCAGATCTTGGCACTAAAAAACCCCCACTGAATCTGACGAGTTGGCAGAATGGGAGTTGCTTGGGAGACGACTTTCCCAGCAGGAAGGATCTGCAGGACTATCCCTTAGTCAACACTAGGATTCATCGGAGCTCTCCACGGTGCTGAAACACCAGGTCTCTTGAGTGCCCGTCACAGCGAGGTAGAACTGAAGAGAGGTTGTCAACCGTTCATTAATCCTGATTTGTAAAAGCAAACATCTCTGATCAAAGTCTTCAGAGCAGGATTAAGGTGAACGCAGCTTTCCTTCCAGCCTGCTTGGTGGATTCAGCCCGTTTCCCTCAACCCGGATTCCCGTCTTCCTCCTATCATAGAGCAGGAAATTGGATCACTTAACTACCATTCTTTTTCTACTGGAAAAATGGGTCTGTACGTTCCAGAATACTTACTGAGAAAATGCCACAGCCCCACTTCATTTTTACCAAGTGCCTTTAAACTACTATCCCTCTACTAAAAAGCAAGTCCTTATGTTCTGAAGGGGGAAGAGCATTTGAAACCAAGGGTGCCTACACTGCAGCGGGCAAAACCTTGAATCCTTGGAGGCTTTCTTTTATCAGCAACATAGGAATAAAATGGCTGGTTAGGAGTACCTTGCCATTTCTACATTTCTTTTACATTCCCCAAGGAATTTATTTGCAGAGGAACAGATCAATTGTTGAAGGAAATGCATCCGAACTGAAAAAGTAATTGAGGAGGGCTGGAATTTTTATGAAGCGAAACAGAGGACTAAGAAAAAATCTGGAACTTGTAGAGGGGAAAAGGAGCTTTTTTTAGCACGAGGCACAGCATCCTCCAACTCTGGGGGGGGGGGGGGAAACATGTGTGTTTGGTGGAAAGCTTAAAGAAAAAAAACACTGGTTCAACACCACTAGGAGTGTGGCAATTTGTTTGCAGTTTTGCTCCAGGATTATTGAACTGAGTCAAGCTTACTTGTTGACTAAAAGGGTCTAAATGTGCTTAGGTGAATTCGGATCAATTCTGGACCAGACCCTGTCTGGTTTCAACGCTGGTGGACTTTAAAAAAAACAAACCCAATCCTGCTTGACGATCTGAATCCTCCACCAGAATCAATTCCGCTGAACGGAGTCAAGATGGATTCCTCTCCCAGGCTGGCAGGGATCCACGAGCAGAGAAGCAGCCGCCGATTCCGAAAGAGCTAGTGAAAGAAAGACTTGGATTTCTTCCTTCCAAGCCAACCATCATTTTGACCAAGCCCTATTATTGTGGATGTGTAAGATTTATGTCTCCCTCGGCCAAAGGCAGTTTTTTCCATGGGGAGATTAACATAAAAGGTATTTTGTCTTTAATATGTAAATGCCGGGCTTGACACAGACAGAGAAGCCCTTAGAAAGACGCAACTCAATGAAGCGTTTGATCAGGACATCCTTCACGGGATTAGCGCCTTAAAGAACATCAGGTAATCTTCTCCTAGCCGGGGTGAAGAGAAAGGAGGGCCAAGATAGGAGCTGGATCAAGAAAAGGACGTTTAATCACTTCTCTAAAGTGATTAAGGACTCTTCCGATGGAGATTTCGCCCCCTTTCCCAGCGCGCCCACGAGAGAGACGACTCTGAAAAAGACAGCAAGGCTGATGAATGGTGGAGCTTAGCTACTCCTGGTGTAAACGCTACTCAAAATGGATTGCAACGGGGCAAACGGTGCCATCCATCCATCCCATCCTCCCCAACCGGCTGGGCAAAGCCGCCACCAGGCTTGGCAGCCAGAGATAGAATTCTGAACCAACCCAGTCAAATCTCCATGTCCTGAACTGACACTCAAATCCCTTTGAAGGTGACGTGTTCGAACGCTGCTGCTGCTTTCCAGGGAGGAGGGGGAAGAGAGAGAGAGAGAGAAAAAAAAATAAAAGGATGTGGAAGGAAGGACGCTAAAGCCACCGGCTGCTTCTTTCGACTCGGCGAGGTAGCAAATTAGGGAGACCTGTCCAAATTCATTCCTCCGGTTGGCTCCTGGATGGATGGCCGAGAGGAAGGACAGGAGGATAGGATGCTTCCCCTGTTTCTTTTATTGCTCGGATTTCGTGCCTGCCAACGTTCATTAGCTTGGAGGGTTCTCACCACGAGCAAGAATAAAAGGCGAGAGAAATCCGGCGGCTTTCACGACCGCCTTTAAAAAAGGGTCCTCAGTTAATGAGCCAGCCAGGAAGGTAGAACAAAATGAAGAGGAGAATAAATACGTAGGAAATGAAGAGTGCTGGGTTTTTTTTTTGTTTTTTTAAAAAAAGATCTTGGTTGGGAAGAGATATCAGAATATCTTCTTGTTCCTGTGAATGGCACCAGGAGCCCATTAAATTTAATGAAAGGTCGAGCAGAAACGCAAGCTGTAATCATCTCTGGAACAGGAAGAGAGGCAAAGGGAGGGAGAAAGGAGGAGGGATGAAGAGTTGGGGGCTTCCATTCCTGGTGGGAGGCATTCGTTCCTTTCCTTGGAAAGGCCAGCCTCTTGGTTTGGTCAGGACAACCTTCTCAGGACTAGTTCTGTACAGAACAGCAGGTAATCTTCTCCTAGCTCGTGCGAAGAAAAAGAGGCCCAAGATAGCAGTTGGATCAGGTCAGAAGTGTCCAACCTTAAGACTTGGGGACTTCAACTCCCAGAGGCCCACCAAGATCTAGGTCAGGAGTGTCCAACCTTATGACTTGTGGACCTCAACTCCCAGAGGCCCACCAAGGTCTAGGTTAGGAGTGTCCAACCTTAAGATTTGTGGACTAACTCCCAGAGGCCCACAAAGATCTAGGTCAAGAATGTAGAACTTGACAATTTCAAGACTTGTGAACTTCAACTCCCAGAGGCCCACAAAGGTCTAGGTCAGGAGTGTCCAACCTTAAGACTTGTGGACTTCAATTCCCAAAGACCCACAAAGGTTTAGGTCAGGAGTGTCCAACCTTAAGACTTGTGGACCTCAACTCCCAGAGGCCCACAAAGCTCTAGATTAGGAGGGTCCAACCTTAAGACTTGTGGACTTCAACTCCCAGAGGCCCACAAAGCTCTAGATTAGGAGGGTCCAACCTTAAGACTTGTGGACTTCAACTGCCAGAGGTCCACAAAGGTCTAGGTCAGAAGTGTCCAACCTTAAGGCTTGTGGACCTCAACTCCCAGAGGCCCACAAAGCTCTAGATTAGGAGGGTCCAACCTTAAGACTTGTGGACTTCAACTCCCAGAGGCCCACAAAGAGCTAGGTCAGGAGTGTCCAACCTTGGTGACTTTTAAGTCCAAACGTCTAGGTCAGGAGTATCTTAAAGTTCCCAAGGCTGGACATCCCTGGTTTAGGTGGAGAGAGGTGACCCCTGATGCCCTTGAGAAAAATACCCTCTCTCCAAAATTATCTGCTGGATCTTCTTGAGTTCTTTCTAAAGCTACCTATGAAACAGCCATGGAAAGATGCAACCCCCAGATATCCAGAAGATTTGGGGTAGACCTGATCATCTCTGCAGCTCCCTTTCCCGTCTCCCCTCAACCAGGAAGCAGTTGCTCGGCTCTTACCTAGAGTCACCTCGGACTGCATGGGCATAGAGAGGGCATCGTGCTTGACCTCACAACTAAAGAGCGCGTCATTGTCTATCTGAGGATTAAGGGTCCACATAAGCATGGCCCGCACCTCCACGGTGCCGTCACTGATGGGGATGTGGGTGTGGTGGAAGAAATACGTAGGGTCGGCGTTCTGGATCCACCGCGGGAACTCCCGGCTCACCACAGTCTCGGGGATGTTTTCGGTGGTGGGGCTAAGCAACAGTCCCTGGTCGGCTGTGAGCCCGTGGAAGGGATTCTCGGTGTAAAGCCTCCCGCCCCGGTCCTCCGCATTCAACAGGGAGAGAGACTGCTGCATCTTGGTGTCGTCCATATCCCGATGGAAGAGGTTCCGGGCAGCTCGGCTGTCCTGCAACCCGGCGGCGTTGATCGGGGGCTCCGTCAAAGGGATACCCTGTATCAATTCTCCGTCCCTCTTAAAGTAAACCTGGAGGAGAAAAGGCATTGAGAGATTAAAGGCCCTTCGTTACAACTTGATGCTTTTACACACAGTCTAGAAAGGTGTCGGAAATAACCAGGCTCAGCTTGAGGAAAAGGGTCAAGCGTGTCATCCTGCACACCAAGGCTGTTCGAACGACCACAGATTTATTTCAGGCTAGCTAACACTTTCTAGGAGAATCCAAACGACTAACGGTCAAAGCAAATTGGCGGTGGATGAGAATCAACAGGGTTGGATTAGATCAGGGATAGGTAACCTTGGCTCTTTTATGACTTGTGGACTTCAACTCCCAGAATTCCTGAGTCAGCATGAGGGAAACTTTGGCCCCCTCATGACTCGTGGACTTCAACTCCCAGAATTCCTCAGCCAGCATGGGGGAACTATGGCTCCCTCACGACTCGTGGACTTCAACTCCCAGAATTCCTGAGCCAGCATGGAGGAACTATGGCCCCCTCACGACTTGTGGACTTCAACTCCCAGAATTCCTGAGCCAGCATGGGGGAACTATGGCCCCCTCATGACTCGTGGACTTCAACTCCCAGAATTCCTGAGCCAGCATAGCTCAGCTTGGAAACCTCTCCCTTTCCCCTCAGCATGGTTGACTCAGGAATTCTGGGAGTTGAAGTCCACCAGTCATAAAAGAGCCAAGGTTGCCTACCCCTGTCCAAATGCCTGAATTTTGATCACGTGACTGTGAGGAAAAAATATTTAAATATTTAAACCAGGGGTCTTAAAAACTGGCCCTTTTATGACTCGTGGACTCCCAACTCCCAGAATTCCTGAGCCAGCCACCTAAGGGGAAAGGGAGAGGTTTCCAAGCTGAGCCCTGCTGGCTCAGGAATTCTGGGAGTTGAAGTCCACCAGTCATAAAAGAGCCAAGGTTACCTACCTCTGGCCTAGGCCTAGGCCGCTTTATGACTCGTGGGCTTCAACTCCCAGAATTCCTGAGCCAGCATGGGGGAACTATGGCCCCCTCATGACTGGTGGACTTCAACTCCCAGAATTCCTGAGCCAGCCTGGCTCAGCTTGGAAACCTCTCCCTTTCCCCTCAGCATGGCTGGCTCAGGAATTCTGGGAGTTGAAGTCCACCAGTCATAAAAGAGCCAAGGTTGCCTAGCCCTGGAGTAGAAGACCTCTGAGGTCCAGTCCCACTCTAGTTATACCAAATGAATTGTTTTAAGTCCAGGTCTGCCTGTATATGAAAAAGGCTTAAGACCACATCAGGTGGAGTCTGGATCACCAGGAGGAACATTTAGGATCGGTTTAAATTCAGGGTAAATGTTTGGTTAAGAAACCAGTTCCTCCAAAGAGGGCACACCCACACCCACATCCACACCCCCAACTCTGCCAGGGAACCCACTGTGTTGGCGGGGATGTCTATTGCAAATAAGATTGCGTGACGCAACAGGGGGCCGTGTTTGTGTAGCTGCAGCAGCGAGGAACGCAACGCCTGCTTAAGTCTTTCTGACTGTTTCTCTGAAGAGAAGATTGCGCCGCGTTTCCTAAAACTTCTTTTCAAGCGTCTGATGTCACGCTGTAATGAAACAGCCTCGGGAAATGTTTGCAGATAAGTGGATTTCTCTCTCTCTCTCTCTCTCTCTCTCTCTCTCTCTCTCTCTTCCAGGTGGGGAGACGGAAGCAACCGCCAAAAAGCTTTGTTCCTCCCTCTCTTCGCGTTTTCCTCCAAATGTAGATCTTTCCGACTTCTGAATTAATACGCAGAAATTATTATCGGGATGTTTAGAACTCAAGGCTTCCCCACCGCTCCCTACCGTTTCACAGCATCCTGTCTGTCTGTATAAAGATATCCCACTACCCCGAACATGATTTAAAAGGGAGAGAGGGTGGGTGGAAGGAAACCAAACCACGAGAAAAAAAACAACAACTCCAGAAAGGATAAAATATCTGCTCCAAGGCTGTGCAGAAAAGGATGTTGCAGAAGACCTTTTTAATAAGGTAGTCCTCGACTTACGATTATTTGCTTAGCAACCAATCAGAAATGACAATGGCACTGAAAAAATCCTACTTACCACCGTTCCTCCACCTTACAACCCCGGGTCAAAACTTGGGCGCCCAGCAACTGGCATACATTACACAAGTTGTTAAGTGAAACGGTCCTCACTGTGGCTGCTAAGGGAGGACCACCTGTATCCAGGTGGATGACAACTGAATTGGGAGTCTTTTTTTTAATCTCCAGATGGGAAGATAGGGGTGCCCATTCTCTATGGATGCTCTGTGAAATTTTGGGGGGCTTTAAAAAAAGGGAGGCAGAAAGGCCTGGAGACTAAAACATATGAACAACGGTTGCAAGATTTGTGTTTGGCTAATCTAGAGAAAAGAAGGATTGCGGTGGGGTGGGGGGGACAGGATAGTGGTCTTCCATTATTTGGGGGGCTGCCACAAAGAAGAGGGGGTCAAGCTGTTCTCCAAATCCCCTGAAGGCAGGACAAGAAGCAACGGATGGAAACTAATCAAGGAGAGAAGCAACCTGGAATTAAAGAGAAACTTCCTGACAGTGAGGACAATTAACCAGTGGAACAGCTTGCCTCCAGACATTGTGGGTGCTTCATCACTGGAAGATTTTAAGAAGAGATTGGCCAGCCATCTGTCTGGGCAGGGGTCTTCAAATTTGGCCCTTTGATGACTTGTGGACTTCAATTGCCAGAATTCCTCAGCCAACGTGCCTGGCTTAGGAATTCTGGGAGTTGAAGTCCACAAGTCATCAAAGGGCCAAGTTTGAAGACCCCTGGACTAGGGCTGGACTAGACGACCTCCAAGGTTCCTCCCAGCTCCATTCTAATTGATTGAACCCTCCAAAATATTGGGAGGCCCCTCTCAGCCAATTAGCTTGAGTTCAGATTTAAACAAAAAAAAAAAAGCCTGAATTTTGTAGGGATCTTAACAACGTGCTTTGAATCCACCCTGTTTATGAACTGGGACCGAAGCGAAAACTGGAGACCCGTCTCAAGAAAAGCAGGTCAACAGTCCTTACTTCAAAGCCTCGTGAGCTGCAATGGGGATGATTAATGCTGAAAAGGAGACAGAGAGGTGCCTTAACAGGGTTTAGAGGTGGAGAGTCTTCTCTTTATTCCATGCTTCTCCAAACTTACCGTGGGGGCAGGTTTCCCACCAGCGACAAGGCAAACCAAGGTAAAATTCTGGGCCTGGTAGCGGCTGAAGGGAGCTGGAGTGTCCGCAGCTATGACGGAGATGGATGTGGGAGGTGCTGGTGGGAGAAGGAAGAACATTTGTTACTCATTTGATCAACCAGGAGCATCGTCCAAAGAGTGAGGTCAACTGGAGAAGTTTCTCCAAGACTTCCTGAAGCTTGAAGGTCCTAGTGAAGTGTGTGAGATGCATCGGGAACCCACAGTAGTTCGAGCGTTCCCCTCTGTCAGGTTTCCCTCTAAAATGGAGAAAAAACTGCCCCTTGCACATCACCCCACTGGCAAACTGGAGAACATCTGGAGAAAGGAAAGGAGAATGGATTGAAAAAAGAGGTGAAGGTCATCTTCAGGTTATGCCAGAAATGCAGAATGCAGAATTCTCTCTAAAGACAGAAAAACCAAGGCTACAGAATGAACATTTTGGAGAGAGTGCACAGTTTCTTCCATCATTTACAGAGATTTATTTTTCCAAGTTATTCCCCAACTCCCCAACTCTATTACTGAAGTGATAAAGACACAAATGTTTTAAGTTCTCTCTTAAAAATACATGCTCGCCCTGGTAGCAATTACACGTGGAGTAGTTTTAAGTTTTCAGGGTTTTAAGTAGGACGTTTCGCTCCATGGAAAGTTTTTAGTTCTTTTCTTTCTTTCTTTTTTGTTGGTGCTTTTTATGAGCTAAGAAATGCAGACCCAGCAAAGAATAAGTCAATACCTAGTGTGGTGTGTTTTTTTTCCCCTACCCTGCAGCAAAGTCTCTCATCCCCCTGTGGTTGTGATCACAAAACCATTTTATTTTTTTTTGCAAGTGGTTTGGAAAAATAGGAAGCTTTTTCTTCCAAGCTCAGCCAAGGAAAAACAGATGAAATAAGACAGATGGAATGGTTTATGATGCACCTAAACTCCAATGATGGCTTATTATGATAGCCACCCACAGTAGGGGGGGATGGAGGTCGTAAAAGTTTAGTTAATAATAGCATTATTTCTTTATTTGACTTCTATAGATGCCCATCTCAGCAAATGACTCTGGACAGCTATAGAAATCAATCCATCAACCAAAGAAAAACTGCTATTATTTTATTAAATTTTTATGATGCCTATCTCCCCTATAAAGCGACTCTGGGCAGCTACCATAATAAGCCATCATTATTATTATGTTCACCATATTTTCAAGCCTATACAAAGCTGCTTCTCAAATGGTATGGATTTGTGGGACACACAAATGTCTTAACGCAATTAAAACTGTCAAGGGGAGCGCAGAGATGGATAGGTTAACATTAAAAATGAAAGACAAAGAAGAAACGGAATATTAGGTGACACGGGACTTATTTTACCAATGGCTAGCTGATAAAAACAGAGGTTAGAAAGTTAGAAATATGAGAGAATATGTGGATTATGTGAGCAAGATGTATAACGGATTAGTAAATGCTTCGATTGTTATATAACTAATGTTCATGTGGGTAATACCATTTTTAATATTTTGATTGCTATTTCCTAGTATATGATTGTACTTTGATAAGATTATTATGAACGTGATGGTTATTATATTTTAATACTTGTATACCTAGACCAGAGGTAGGCAACCTTGGCTCTTTTATGACTCGTGGACTTCAACTCCCAGAATTCCTGAGCCAGCATGGGGGAACTATGGCCCCCTCATGACTCGTGGACTTCAACTCCCAGAATTCCTGAGCCAGCCATGCTGAGGGGAAAGGGAGAGGTTTCCAAGCTGAGCCATGCTGGCTCAGGAATTCTGGGAGTTGAAGTCCACGAGTCATGAGGGGCCATAGTTCCCCCATGCTGGCTGAGCATTCTGGGAGTTGAAGTCCACGAATCATGAGGGGCCATAGTTCCCCCATGCTGGCTGAGGCATTCTGGGAGTTGAAGTCCACGAGTCATGAGGGGGCCATAGTTCCCCCATGCTGCCTGAGGAATTCTGGGAGTTGAGTCATGAGGGGGCCATAGTTCCCCCATGCTGGCTGAGGCATTCTGGGAGTTGAAGTCCACGAGTCATGAGGGGGCCATAGTTCCCCCATGCTGGCTGAGGCATTCTGGGAGTTGAAGTCCACGAGTCATGAGGGGGCCATAGTTCCCCCATGCTGGCTGAGGAATTCTGGGAGTTGAAGTCCACGAGTCATGAGGGGGCCATAGTTCCCCCATGCTGGCTGAGGCATTCTGGGAGTTGAAGTCCACGAGTCATGAGGGGGCCATAGTTCCCCCATGCTGGCTGAGGCATTCTGGGAGTTGAAGTCCACGAGTCATGAGGGGGCCATAGTTCCCCCATGCTGGCTCAGGAATTCTGGGAGTTGAAGTCCACCAGTCATGAGGGGGCTATAGTTCCCTCATGCTGGCTGAGGAATTCTGGGAGTTGAAGTCCACGAGTCATAAAAGAGCCAAGGTTGCCTACCCTGACCTAGAGACAATGCACTGTTCAATGTAGAATTGGAATTTTTAAAATAATAATAATAATAAAAATTTGAAAAAAACTGTCATGGGGGAGCAGCCCTGCCTGCATGGCTTATAGTTTGTCAACTTCTGGAGACCTCTCCTGAAATCTCCGCCGATGATGTGCTCGGTCGAAAATGCGCAGCTCTCTCTCCTTTCCGTGGGGTGTCCATCTTCCTTTATTAAAAACCAGGTCAGCTCTGTGGGTTGGGAGCCCCAGCTGGCGAACACCGCTGCGGTGACACTGGAATTAGGAGAGACGGCTGATTTATGACAAGCGATGGGCCTTGAACGTCATTTGCTCCAGTGGAGTCTCAAGAGGCTGAAGCAATGCGAAGGAAGCGTGGACCCTCCAGTTGACGGTCAAGACCGAGAGAGATGGGTGGACAGGCACCCCTGAGAAGTCAATCTTGCACACAACTCCTTCCTTCTTGGTGTGGAAATTGCTTCTTGGAAGACCCCCTCCAGCGAACAATGGTCCTGTTCCCTCCTTAGGCATCCCTCGAAGCGATTTCAAGAACTCCGGGCTTCGTCACATCACAACTCATTCAACAGATGCAGGATCCTCTCCGTCTTTCTTGCATTCGTGCCGATTTGTATCCCAAGGCAAGAAAAATGAACTGGGAAGAGAAATAGTCCCAAAGAAAGAGATAACTACGGGGAAGAGATAAATGGAGAAAGAGGGAAAGAAAAATATAGATGCAGGAGCTCCGGAGTCTAGCTGCAGATTTAAATAATGGAGCAAAGCCACCTTAAACAGCTGAATATAACAGTCGTAGCCGGTGAGTGAATCGGGGTCCTGCTCTGCAGTGTTTGCCAAATTTGGGGCATTTCTGCTTCCAAAGGAGCAGAGGGGAAGAAGGAGCTTGCCACGGCTGCACAAAAACTCAAGGGAATTGGGGAGAAGGGAAGGTCCAGGAGGGCATCAAGTCTGACCCTCTGAAAGGAAATTCAGAGCCTCTTCGTGAAGGGGCTCCACCTGTTTAGGAAGGTGGTTTTCATCATCCACTCTTTCTCCTAAAGTTCACATAGATTCGACCTCTCATGAAACAGCCAAAGCAATTCCAGCAATGCTTGGTGGCTGGTTGGGGTCACGCTGGGTTGAAAGTTCATGGATCTGGGCCAAAAGAAGGCAGATGGATGAAGTAACATTGCTTTGTTGAAAAACTCTCCATCCTTTTCACAAATGGCTTCCAAACACAATTTATACCCCCCAAATTCACCCACAAGTTATTTCCACCAACGGAGCAAAGAAGCTTCTCTCCAAATGCTTCAACCAAACAACTGTGGATCAGATAGACTGCCCTTGAAGCTCCTCCTCCTCCTCCTCCTCCTCCTCCTCCTCCTCCTCCTCCTCCTCCTCCTCCTCCTCTTCTTCTTCTTCTTCTTCTTCTTCTTCTTCTTCTTCTTCTTCTTCTTCTTCATTCTCCTCCTCCTCTTCTTCTTCTCTTCCCCCCTCCTCCTCCTTCCCCTTCTTCATTGTTCTTCTCATCTTCTTCTTCTCCTTCTTTCATCATCTTCTTCTTTTCCTTCTCCTTCTTCCTCCTCCTCTTCTTCTTTTCTTCTTCTTCTTCTTCTTCTTCTTCTTCTTCTTCTTCTTCTTCTTCTTCTTCTTCTTCTTCTTCTTCTTCTTCTTCTTCTTCTTCTTCTTCTTCTTCTTCTTCACCACCACTCTCCTCCCCTTCTTCTTCTCTTCCCCCCTCCTCCTTTCCCTTCTTCATTGTTCTTCTCATCTTCTTCTCCTTCTTTCATCATCTTCTTCTTTTCCTTCTCCTTCTTCCTCCTCCTTTCTTCTCCTCTTCCTCCTCCTCCTTCCTTCATTCTCCTCCTCCTCCTCTTCTTCTTCTTCTCTTCCTCCTCCTCCTCCTTACTTCTTCCTTTGACCTCCAAAAGACATTAAGGAGCAACTTGGAGAAGAATTCACTCTAAACGTTCCTGTGTTGGGATCAAGTGTGACAAAGAAACTCAAACCAACCCCTTCTAGATGTTCTTCTGCATCAGATGTCCTTCTACTTTGCTACACTACATCAACACCACTGGCTTTCCTGCAGGGTCTGTTTTCTGGGTCTGGCCTACTGTGAAGGGCTGATCAATCAACCAGGCATGGTAAGGGTGGTGGCACTCAAGACCAGCCTCCATGTGGAGTGTCTCTGTTACAAAGAGGAGGATCTGGCTGTCCTTAAGAGGTCCCTAGTCTTCAAGATCCTCATGCGTTTCAGGCAGATTCTAACCAGCAACATTTATACGTCCTCATCAGCTGCCGGCACCCTTCACAAGGGACTGACAATGTGTCATGTTAGCGAGAAGACTTATTACAGGAGTCCCTCTGTCTGGCGTCGGCCTCCTCCACCTTTACACCCCCTCCCTTCGCCCCGAGCATCTTCCCTCGTGCCAGCCGCCTTCACCATCCTCCTTAATCATGCCTCCAGAACATTGAGCCATGAAGTCACCCATCACAACCAATTAAGGGTGCTGTCTGGAGGACAAGATCTTTACCTAATGCAGAGATGGCTAAATTTAGAAGCAGCCGACAGAAGAAGAGGTGCAAATTGCCCTGGCCGACCCAGGAGATGTCAGCATCTAATTACACAGCTGCAAGGCTCCCCCACACATCGCC